AGGATCCCAATGTGGCACAGGGAATTTTGTTTTCACAATTTTTTCAGACTAGCCATTTGGACTCAGTTCTGCCTCTTCTCCAACACTTGTCTAATGAGGACTTGGGTTGGAGTCAGACCTTTCCATTACATAGTATTTGTATCAGACAGTTCTTTGTGTTTGACTCGTCCTTTTGTTCCCTATTGCAAGCAATTGCAACATGTGACAGGAAGTGTTTCCTAAGACCGATGCACTATATTTTCTTCCAGACTTTCAGTGTATTGTGCTTGGTACTCCATGTGTTATTTCTCCAGCATTCCAGTCTCAGCCATCTTGGGGCACCTTATGGATCTCATGAAAGTGGGTCTTTGCTCAAATTTTTAAGTATTTTCACAAATCTAACCACTTTAAGCAGACTGTACCACAGTCTGACAGGTAAGTCCAATAACTCTTCAATTTTTATCTGGTTATTATCCAGTTGTTTGTGGGCACAGAACTGATAGGAGTAATTAAGATTGTAACTAACCATGGGAGCTGTTTTGCATGAGCTTTCCCTTTTGTGCAGTTGCTAGGCAGCCACTTGCAATACTATCTGTGTTTTACCAAACCTGGACTCATTCTTGAAGGACCGATAAAGCCCTCAGTATGCTAGTTTTTAGCCATTGCTTTCTTGACTCTGAACCTCTGGGCTGTAATTGATGGCAGGGTAACTACTTAAAGTCTCTTATATGCAAATCCACTTGAAGAAAAAAGAAACATTTCGTACTGGGTACACCTCTTTATTTGTAATCAATATGTACATTAGCAGCCTTTTCCCTTTCTCAGTGGCTTTCAAATATAAACCTACAATTGAGAGGAATTGAAATGGTAGAGAGTAAACTGCCTTATAGGTTATCTACCATCCAGTGTTACATCGTAAATATAGATAACGGGTATTGCAGATAATCTGCTACTGCTAATGTACATTTTTTTCATTTCTTAGTAAAACTGAACAATACTGAATTATTAAAGGTTTTAGTCCTCAGTTTCTTAAATTTGTCTATACCATTTTGTACTATGTTTTTAAAAAATGTAGTTAAACAAGCAGCAGTAACTATCCAGCAAAGAAGTACTTAAGTTTCCTTAGAAAATCCTGTTTGGTTATAAGGGACCCTTTGAAGGAGGAAGTAAATATGATTAACTTCTACTATCCCCCTGCCTTTCCATGAGAAACTGATTTAACAAACCAGACTTTTAGAAAGAAAGTGACAGACTACCAGGAAGTAGCTATTTGTCTGAAGAAGTTTAGAAGCTATCAATACTATTTCAAAAATGGAAATCTGGGAAGTCTTTTGTTTCCCTGGAATTGTCATTAAATTATTCTCCATAGCCCTTATAGCTAAAGCATCTATATCAGTAATTACACTGACACCAAACAGTATTAATAATTTAAGGAGGTTCTTACATGACATAACATATACCAGTATGTATATGATACTTGCACAAACTTATTTAATGTTGGAATTTTGATGAGAAGCAAGCCTAGTTAGTATTCCATTGCTCCAGGCAATGTGTTCAATTACATAAGTTAGTGTTAATCCTTCTTTGTTCTGTTTGACTCCCATGGGACAGGGCAGGGGGGGTGCTTTTGGTTTGCATTAAAAAAAAACACAAACAGTTGCACTATATTGCATGTTTTGCATACTATTTCCTGATGATATAAGTAACTATATTAATGCGATATATCATGTTTTACACATGGTTTCATACAGTATTGTTTTCCCCTTAGACCAATCAACCACGGGATGCCCCCATTACACGCACAGTAAGTTGCTTCTCCTTGCTAGCAATGCCACAAAACACTAACAACTGAAGGGAAGCCAAGGATGTTACTCTGTCTGAAAACAGCCAGGAAAGTAGGGGCCCAAAAGTAGACAAAGAGGGTTGTTAGCCACTAAAAATTGATAAAACAGTAGAAACAAGTTTGCTGTGTAGGCTGCTTAATCCAACAAAATTCACCTTTGTTCTTGGTAGGTCCACTCTGAGCATGAGTTCTACCCACTGTTTAAGGATATGTTTATTTTTTCTAAAACACACTATATATTTGCTTTTAAATTATGTGTAAAGAACAGGAAATATAATGTGCTATTAAGAAAAAAACCCACAATTATTTAGAAACCCTATATTGATTTGCATTACAAAAACTTTCTCTTACCAGAGTAAAACAAAGTAAAACTTTGAGAGTTCTTGAAAAAAAGTAAAGCAAGAAGATTCTGATACTACTAAGAACATTGAAAGATGTAAGATCTATGGAAATACACTGACGGAACTAAAGTAAGAATAAAGAGATGGAAAAGGAAAAGAAAAAAATATTCAGGTAGGACTGACTTATACTTTCTACACTGATTCCTGTCTTTTTACATTAGAGGATTTTTGGAGGCTGGCTGCTGAGCTGCCAGAGGTGTGGCAACTGGGAGCTGACAAAACCGGTGGGAATCCATCTGCCTAGATGCCCAGCTCCTGGGTTTTCCCACCTGGGAGTTGAGGACAGCTGAAATTCTTTGTGTACAGGACTGCAGTAGTCCGAGCATTTCATTCCTTTCTTCTGCTCAACTCCTACTGAGTCAGCCTTGTATAGCCCACATGAATGCCCGTGTCCCCTTTATGCCATCACACCAAGATTGTCCTCGTTTTTGGGGAATCAAAAAACCAACAGCCATCAAAATGGCATTCTGCCACAGGTGCTGCTTGTTTGTAGCTTGGGCTTTTTGAAACAGGGTATTCCTGTTGTTTAGAAGGTCATGGTACGATCTGACATCAACAGTAATAGCAAGCAGGAAAACAATCACAGGCCCTTTGAGTCACTGAGACCCCGAAGTTTCATACAAAGTACTCTCCTCCTCTCTCTTGCTAAATATATGCATATATGTGTATGTGTCTATATATGTATACACACACATATATATAATATATAGTGTGTGTGTCTATAGATGTAAGTATATATGTGTATATAAATATTTTTTATATATACTTCAATATAAATTAGGTAAATTGAAGTTTTAAGGGAAAATAAAGAAACTGGAAAACTCTAATATTCATTAAAATGTTTGTCAGTAGGAGATAGGAAATATTTAAATGAATACCACAGAATTTGTGACTGATGAAGTATCATAATAGTTTCAGTGATCTAATGGAACATTTAAATTTGATCATGGATCAAACATAATTATGAAAACCTGAAAGGAAAGAAAAATAGCATAGATGTGGGAGGAACCAAACTTAGAGAACCATGTTCAGTATGGATTGATTAGATTCAATCCCTCAGGACAGACTGAATTCCAAAATAACAAGTCTTATTTATGATCTACCAGTAGGCAAGAAGGATATAATTACATTCAAATAGATTATTCATGTTATCCTGCATTGCATTTTTTTCTCTTCCTGTGAATTGTTTTCTTTAAACAATCATTTTAATCTTTAAACTCAGATTTTTTAAAAAAATTATTATAATTATAGCCCTTTTAGTAAACTTGGCACTTTTTTCTGGTAAAGGAGACACTACTGAGCTCTATAACAATTTAAATAAACATTTATGGATATATGCACTTATTTAGCTTCTCATTTATTAGTCATAAATGATTAGTGTGGGTTTTTTCAACTTTTTAACTGACAGCCTTTTCCGAATGTAAACAGAAAACCAGTGTAATATTTATTTTTAAATTATATTGACCTTAATATTCTAGATAGCTCAGAAAAATAGTTCCTCAAAATATGTTTACATGAAAATATAACTGTTCTATTAAGCATTTCCTGTATGCTCTATAGTTAGCAACCTGGATAGAACAGATTCTAAAACCTCGAACAGAGTAAGATTTGTGGATTAATGTATTTGAACTTTTTTTTACCCAGGAAATTTTCTGTGAAACTGGAAGAGGAAAATTCACTGTCCTACTTTTCCAATTCTTAATCCATATCTCATATTGAAAGTGATTAAAATATTATTTTAGCATTTATAGAAGACACTACAACTGTCAGAAATTCTAGATGTTTAGCCAGTGATTTCTATTTATCCAACAGCTTGAATTATGTTACAAGTCTTGTAGCAGACAAATGCCCTTGCTCATTACCTTTAGATATTTTATGCATTATAAATTTGGACCTTTAATCCTCTGTTCTAATTTCCAACTGATGTTACTTTAGAAAGAAGAATGGCAATCTGAATGTGAAACTTGTAATACAACCTGAATGTCATTCCTGGAGGACTCAAACAGTTAAGACAAGCTGGCACTTCTCCCACGTTCTATTCAAAGGTGTTAAAATGATTGCACTGAGGTACTACTGCTACCATCTTAAAGGATTTATTATTGGCTGACTGTGCTCTGGGAGGTGTTGTGCTGTAATAGGAAAACAGTTTTTTAACAGTTCTAATAAACAGCTGCCTATTAGGAACTAGGTATTAAGCACTGCAGTCATTTCACTTAAATTGAAGCACACATTCTGTAGCCTCTAAGAGGCAAAACAAAATATTATGTTACCCGTTCAAAAAATGTATGTTTTGTATTTTCTTTTCAAAAGTTTTTGGTGCAATAATAAAAGATAAGCCTAACAACTGGAAAAAAAAAAAAAAAGATGTGACAGATGTAGATGTCTGTAATCACCATCAGCATGGATTGAAATAGATTTGAATTTTGCTATTTGAGAGTTATTGAAAATATAGATCAAACTTTTTAGTAGCTACATATAACATTTTACTTTGTAAAGATAACAACAAAACTAATCATGATCTTGTCTCTTGGACATATCTAGTCAGGATTTAACAGTAGTACAGGGTTAGGTAAAGAAAAGTGGTAATTCACACGCTGATGCTGTTGTAATATATTGATATTTCACTCTAAGCCTCACCTATAGAGCTACTTTGCTTTCATTTTTAATATTTCAAAAGCTGTTTTGGACATGATTTCTCCCAGGCAACAGGCAAGAATGATCTACAATTGAGTGCCGTGGCAAAACTGGATAGTGGAAAGTGTTCATCAAAGGCATACCTGTCCAGCTCTTGCATTTTCACAGACAAAAGTATCGTAGAATACAGCAAACTGTGGGGCATTGTCATTAACATCCAAAATTCTTACGTAGACAGGTACACGAGTAGTATCTTTGGGGTTGTCTGACAGGAGAAGAAAGAAGAAGAATGAGTTTATTTTCCTACTAAAAGTTTTCTGTTTTCTTCCAAATTTCATGAGCAATAGACATGCAAGATTAGGTATGAAACTGGTCAAAAATTAACGTACAAACTAATACCAGGTAAGAATCAGGCCTCCTGAAAAATAAGGAGATGTTTTGCTTAAAGTAAAAAATATATTAAAGTATTGGCGTCTAGTGAGTAATTAAGCTTTTACATGAAAATAAGGGCTGCAACTGTTAATAATCTATGCAAATATAGCATATGAAAAGTATGCCTATTACTATCATGACAAATTTGATTATTTGGTGGGTTCAAGAGTATTATTCTGCTGTAAGGTTTTGATTTTTAATTTTCAAATTATTTGTGATCTGTTTTGTTTTACACAGAAAAGACATTGACTTTGTGCATACATGTTTTGGAAATTTTTCCGGCCTGACTTTCCTCCCTTGTGCCTTAATAAATAGGGAGAAATTCCAACAAAGCCAATGAAAGTATCCCCCCCCAAAATCTGGTAAAGAATTTATTAGAATCAGAGTTTTTATATTTAAATTGCCTTAAAAAATACGAATGTAGATTTTCAGACCTTAGGTTACGAAACAAGAATAGTAACCTCCCCCTTGCCAAATGTCAAAACCCTAGTATTATTTATAGTGCCTTCTCATTAGTATAGGTTAATTCAGGAATACAAGTGTCCCTGTTCCCACTTGCTGATCCTAGTTGCCATACCAAGAATCTGAAATAATGCCTGGGAGTGAAAAAGTGCAGCCATTTCTTGGAATTCTGCGGGCTGGTAGCTAAATACTGTTATGATTTTGCAACCTTAATGGAATAGAATAAGTAACAGTAGAGATGATTCAAAATTACTTTTTTTTTTTTTTCCCCTTTTTAAACTGCTTCAAATAAAACAGTAAACGTTTAGGAGTAGCTGGCATTAAGTTCACTTGTTATTAATAACACCTTTGCTAAAGAGTGTGATGTGGATCTTTTTGACATCCTGAGTTGTTTAAAATGGCAGGTTTAGGGCACTGTTTTTCATAGCCTTTTACATTTTTGTACTAACTTTCCAAATGAGTTCTAGTCTTAACACTGCTGTCCCATTGTGTCGTGCTTCACAGGTAATATTTTTAAAGATTTAAAGACCTAAATCTAATCTCCCCTTTCACTTCTTTCTCCAAAACTAATGTACCTCTTTGGAGAATGCTAGCTACTCCAACTAGGTCCAGAATGTAAATTTTGCTCAAAGTATCGTGACAAGGAAATAAGTTTAGCACTATGATATACGCATACAAGGATACTAAGTTTTTTCATTATATAAATACTTTTGAAAAGTATTCTTACAACATTGGACAGCACCATGAAGGATTGTAAGCTCAGGACCATGCATTACAAGAGGAAAAAAAAAGGTTTAAAAAAAAAAGGTACAGCTATGGGTATGCTTGATACAACCAGCCTATTGCTCTGGACTACAGAAATGAGGCCAGGCAGGCTAAGAGTGGTGAATTGGCTGGACACGATGTTCCATTTAGTTCTCTGCAGTGTAGTTCTTGCCAGCCATGCTTCACTGCTGATCAGCAATTTTTTTTTTTTTTTTTGACTGATGTAGAATTAAGCCTAAATAACCAATGTCTTTGAAAGCAAGTGATCCTCACTAGCTGATTTCAAAGATCAGACCTTTGTCCCTTTGAACATCTTTTGTCGGGCGATTAGAGTTAATCTCAATAATGTAGCAGGTTTAAGAGGATCTCTGCTTTCCTCTTTGTACTTTTAACATGAAAATATGTACAGAGAGCTGATTTAAATAGTCCAGGAAATGCTACAGCTTAGGGATCAAATTGAAACTAACTTGTAAGCTGTACTGATTCCAAGAGGTGTAGGTGTAGATACCATACGAAGAGATAATGAAATTATTTCTAAGGAAATGAAGAAAACCATAGAGACAAAACCATAGATTACCATCCTGAACTCTGCTACTTTGACAGCAAAATCATGTCATTGTCCTCAAAGAAAAGGAAGAAAACAGAATTATTCCAGTGTTATTATTTAATTGGGACACACTTCAGAAGTAACTTGGACATTAAAGGTCAATGGTGAAGTAGGTGAGGAAAAAAGCAATGAGGAGACAGCTGCTGTTAGATCCCCCCAATTTATTTTCCCAGAATATCTAATAGAAAGGGGGCCTGTCCAGGGCGGGGGGGAAGGAAGGGAGTTTTTTTCTCATGAAGTCACAGCTGTAACTTTGCAGGCTAAGGAAAACTGAAAAGAAACAGAGACAAATTGGCTTACTGATCTCAGCTGCTATAACACTAAGATTGTGCCATTGTGATATCTCACGGTCAAGTGGCTTAGAAGTATAGATGGACCCGTTTCCAGAATGAATATTAAATATCCTGTCAAGGTCAGTGTGACGATCCAGAGAAAACCTAAATATGATAACGAAAGAAAAAGTATTGTCAAAATGATAGAAAATGGAAGAAAGCCTATATTTCACAACAAGTCAATACAGCTTTTAGGTTCTATATGTTACATTACAAAGGTTAGTTTTGAGAAGACATATATTTAGTTTCTATAAACACTTAAGAAAATTCTCAAGGTTAGTTCCATAGAATGAGGAAAAAAAATTGCAAGAATTTCATAAATATGATGCAGTAGTGTAAAATTTGATCATCTGAGCTTTTATAGACATATATGAGAATCATAAAAAATAAGTCAGGATTTCAATATAATAATTAAAGAATTGTTTTAGTCCTGAAAGGAAAATTGCCTTTGATGTACTGTTCCTTCAGACTGAGACCGACAGCTAATTTACAAGCTTTTCAAAAGTATTGTTATAAGCTCAGCTTCTACACTTTAGGATATATTAATTTACTAGAGGTCAAGTTAAAGTTCACAGTGCAGAACTTGCACTTTCATGAATATACTGATGTTAAAGGACCTTCTATGTTGCTATAGTTACTGTACTTCTGCAAACAAAACTTCTACTAACACAGTATGACAGAATGTCAAACTAGAATCAGAAAATTGCTCTTTCCTCCATTTTTTCTGCCTTCAAAGTTAGGATTGAACATTTGATGTGGAATTAAATGTAGGATTTTGTGAAGTACAGAACATTTATCTAACTACCTGGCAGAATTGGGCCAAATTAAAAACAAAAAAGTCTGCTAGTATGCTTGTACAGTATTGTTCATGTTTCTATGAACTTTTATGAGTGATCTAAACAGTTCATCAAGTGTATCTATTTTTACTTACAGTACTTACTAAATTTGATAATAGCCAGGAGATAAGCACATACTTTTACCCCATCATATTACTTCTAATGGCCAGCAAATGCTACCAAAATTATTATTTTCAGAAAATACCTCCACATTCATTGAACAGAAATAGAAATTAGTGCAACAGGAAGCTATTGGCACTCAATTTATAGGAAGCCTATCTTATACAGAATTTTAATAAACAGAAACTAATATTTTAAAATAACAGCTAAACAGAAAAAAAATGGAAAGCTGAATTCTACAATCTGAAGCTGTAATATTTTTTCTTCATAACAGTATTAAAGTATTATACAAACTGCCCTAATTTCCAAATATGACAACTTTCAAAATACTTTAGTTTAAATGTTAGCTGTTCACTTCTGGGATAAACACACAGTACTCTGCATTTAATATTGATATTGTAAGAAGTAAAGGCATGTAAAAACTTATCCTAGGTAATCTTTGAATGAATATACAAGGTTGCTTTGAAAGTTGAGGAACAGAGCAAATACTAAAGAGAATTTGACCTACGCTATGCAAATTGTTTTAAAGTTCTTGTCTTCAACTAGATAGCATTAAATGAAAGCTAAAAGAAATGACTGTGCTATGAAGAGCATTATCACATATGTCTTCAATTTTTTTCTTCAAGCAAACTAAATCTAGACTCAATGGTCCCTTTCAATTTTTTAGAAATTTCTTTACCGTTATTACTATTGGTTTGCTCCACCTGCCTCTTTTAAATTATGTTCTGTGGGAGAGTGAAAGAAACATCAACAGAACATAAAAAAATTATATAAAATAATCTTTAGATTGCTACCCTGTGTAAATAATAGCGATGAGGGAAATACCTGCCACAGTTCTTCAATTCATCAAATTGTATTAGAAACAAAATGAGCAAAATCTCCAAGTTTGTTCTTTTTCCAGTCACGATTAAGAAAATATAACTACTAAAATTGTCAGTTGTCTCATGCAATTGGAGTGGATAAAAATGAAATGCTAAGTTATTGATATATTCTTAAATTTTAGAGGCTTGGTGTTATCTCCTATCTTTTTCATACACACGAATCACCATAGGAGAAAATTAGATTCAGTTTAATTTTCTAATCCAGTTTTACCACCTGGGCCTCATTAAGAAGTATGTGACAATTGACTCAAAGTCAGTAAATAAGGTTCTTTTGCCAGAATGTAATTTTTGTACTTTGTTCGGTATTTCAGACAACACACATCCAACTTGGACAGCATTGTCTTACCTGTTTCTTAAAGCTTATGCATTATAGAAAAAAAAACAAAAAAACCCACACCAAAATATAGTTTACTACATTTAGCTAGAGGTGATGTAGCATGTAGCGTCTAGTAGTATATATAGAAAAGATTTTTTAAGATATTAATCTTTCAATGTCTAAGTTCTTGGGGTATTTGAGAATGCACAAAGATAATTTTATTCTGTATAGCAATCACTCTGGCAAGCCTGCAAAGCAGGAGGCACCAACCAGAGCAGGTGAGATCTGCACTGCATACTTCCCAGGACTGACCTGAGGAAGCATTAGAAAGCTCTGTCCCTTTCCTGGGCCATATACTGGTTTGACACTTTTTCACAGTGTGAAGCAAGAAGTAGTCCTGAAGAGCCTACTTGAAATCAATGTGTAATTTTGTAAGTTTTCTGAGATTTGAAGTACTAGAAAACATTTCCTGTGTCTCTTGTGTGCAAGTGAATGGCTGTTCCCTGAGGTGTTCGGAGGCTTACTGATAGCATAATTCTCAATTCTGTCTATCTCCGGGACGCTAATAAATAACAGGAAAAAACATTAGCATCTTCTTCCTGTGTACAATGTATACGTGAAAATTCATGTTGTATTACTATTTCTCCTAATTTCTTTACCAAATGACGTGTTTACAGAGACTGGAGTATTACCTTATCGGACTTGAGGCCGAATCAGGATCCCGTGCCATTACTGTTCCTATTATTGTCCCCAACTCAATATCTTCATGCACTTCAAAAAGGTAAGAAGACCTGCTGAAAACAGGAGGTTCATCTACATCTTCTACAGAGATTTTCACAATAGCTGTATCTTTGAAAGGCCCAAGATAATAGAAGCGTGGATCCACATGGGTATTCTCAGCTTCTACTTTCAAGGTATAAAGTCGTCTCGTCTCATAGTCCAGTGGCTAAAAATGAAGACAATGATAAAGTTTATTAAATTACATTACATATTGATAGACGTTGACTTATATACATAATGGAAACTGAAGAGGACTCAAGCCTTGTCAGATCTTGCCCTGGGTTGGGGGAACCCCAATACAGTTCAAATTTTCCACAGCATAGGGATCACTTTCTCTAGTAAGAAATTTCCATTGTTTTTAGAGGAAGTTTCTCTTCCTAAATATTGTTTGAATTATCGTAGCACCAATGACAAAAAGATTTTCCGTGCAAATTTACCAATTATTTAGTGAGTTTTGCAGCTATTTCACAAGAGTATGGATTTGAAACAATCATATAAGCATTTAAAATACTTGAAATACAGACTTGAAGTACTGACATTCAAACCAAGGTACTTAATACTAATAATTCTCAGGAAATATTATAAACTCTTAGATACTGAAAATGGCCTGAGTATCCTTATTGTCAAACAAATGTAGCTGGCCTTTAATATCAGGAATGTTTTAGGTTTCTTTTAAGGAGGGTGTGTGTGTCAAAGTTCTCTATATCTAGAGAAATAGTACGAGCTTAATCTTGTTCCTTTTCATTTAATTTAATGAATCCAACATCAGAGATTTTTTTTGCAAAATAGATTTGACATTTTTGTCAGCAGTTCCTTTTTAAAATGGAATGAGGAAAGGTTCAGGGTTATAATTAGAAACCATTTTGGATAGAAAAAAACTTCTATTCCTTCAAATTTTTCTAACTGTCATAGATAAAAAGTGTTAGCTAATTAATGATACTGAAGAAATGAGCAAGCTGAGAATTTACCTTTCTGACACAAAGACGACTTCATTAACTCCCCCAAAATCTCAGGGAGATACCAAACTGGTGGTTTTCATTCATCAAAATAGGTGGTAGAAGACTTGTTTTTTCTGCATAACTGCTTTTAAATAAAAATTAATGTTCATGAAAGATGCCAGAGTGACAGCCTACAAATTTAAATATTTTATTTAAGAGCAGAAAGATGCAGTCCAGTGAAAGAATGAGTTTCCCCACTGCCCCAAACTTGTTTTAAAAAAGTAGTTAGAGCAGAAGGGAGAATATCTATGAATGTAATTGAAAAATGGAACACAGTGCTGCTATTTAAGCTAGATCTGAGACTATTGGTGTGTCTATAAAGTGCAGCATGCTGCTGTTAAGGGATGCTGGCTTCAAGCCTAGAAGCAAAGAAGCCATGTTAGTTCTGCTTTATTCTAATTAGCTGGCTTAATTTGCCAGAAGGTGCGCCATGCAGATGTAGTTAACTTGCTACTGGTATATTCACATCCAGTTTGGACATCTCTTCAGGCTACGCTCCAAAATATGGATATAAAACTTGTGGATTATACACATATTCCAACATATCACCAATAATGAACAAAACTGTTGCCCAAATATATGAAATTGTGGCAAAGCAATTATTTTGTCTTTGAGAACTTGTATAGAAAAACCTTGTATAGAAAAAGTTATTTTGCAGCAGCTATTAAATTCAATCTTAGTAACTTAAGGGCTCAGTAAAGGAACACCAGCTATTTGTAGTTATTCAGCATTGAAAACAGAAATGACAATCAACGTGGCTAAATAATAAAGAAAAAGAGAATATTTTCATAAATGAACAAACTGAACATATCTTCTTCCTTGCTAGTTAATGCTGTTGTCTGTGCTATCCAAATAAGCTACATATTTGTCAATATGAGAAAACATCCTGAAAATTGCAAAATGTGTCAGATTGCTAATGACAAAATGAGAAGATCTTGTTTATTAGTATTTATTGATGACATTTTTGGAGCTGCTGTGTTATAAGTTATGAATTTTTTATGCTCGATCCAGTTATTAGACTGTTTTTTCAAGACTGTATTGATTTAATATAATAGCAGTCTGTGTGAAAAATCTGAAGCAAGCAAGAAAGGAGCATCTCAAGAGAAGCCTTCGCAATCTTCTAGGAAAAGGAAAAACATCGGGCCCCAAACTTCGTATTGTCGTTCCTTCCCAGGTAAACTACAATGCTGACTATGAGCATAGAAGAACATAGAGATTAAAAAGGAACACACTCTGATCTTTGCAGAACTTGTCTTTTCCTTGGTTGCCTTTAGCAAGAGACGTGGAGATATATTTTATAGTAGTGTGTAATTCGTTATTCTAAGCTTATAGAGGTTTGTTTAAAAAGCTAATATAAACAGTGTTTTATCTTACAAATACTGCTTGAACTTTTTAGAAACACATCTCAAAATCCCAAAGAAAAGTACTGAGGGACTTCTGGAAGGGAAATTGTTGAGGAGCAGGAAAATGGCATTTCTAAGTGTGAGATATTACACCTCTGAAAGTGTTCTGAGATGCAAGACCGAGGACAGAAGTAAAGCTAGCTCTGAAACAGGGACACCATCATTATTCACTGCTCATGTGTTAGCCAGCTGACATGTTGGAAACCGGAACAAAACAAACAAGATAGCTTGCAACTCAGCTTCCGTGAGTGTGTTTGTGTTCTGGCATACACTGGTCACCAAAGTTGATGAGAATCTCCTAGATAAAGAAAACCTATGTCTCTCAGTAGTGAGTGAACTGCATATTGCTTGCTGAAAAAAATAGGTTACATGAATACTAAAGAAGTCTGTATTTGAAATCAGAGATAATTAGTAGTAACACATTGGGGATGGTCCTTTTTTTACATACTTTGCTGGCAATAATGCTTTAAACCTATGCTGTGTCTCAGATATTGTTACTACCTGTTATTTCCAGTTCATCTTAAAAGGGAATAGTACCATTCAGTCACTGATGGGGATGCTTGCAAGTGTTAAGCAGTTAGAACATGCCATCATATGATCTAAGCACTTTTTTCCAATGAACATTTGTGGCATAACATTGACACCAAAATCATTCAGTGAATGTTGCTAATAGACACCTTTTGCACAGTTATGATGCCTTCCTGCGTGTCCTTCTGTGTCACAATATCAAACATATCTGTCCCATCGCCATCTATAATTCTGTACTCTACTTCTGCATTTTTTCCAGTGTCTGCATCTGTGGCTTTGACGCTGCCAATGGCTGTCCCAACTGGGGAGGACTCGGGAATGCGGAGGTGGATGGTACCTGTCAAAGAGACAAAGAGCCGCTCAGGAGCCCCACAAGCCATTACACATGCATTAAGTAACGTGTCACACAATAGCCAATTACATATTTTTGTGTATCTTTTATTCTAGAGAACTTGCCATTTAGTACTGGGAGGATGGCCAAAATGTGAGGCAGAGAACTATGCAGGAGAAGACTTTAGGTAGAAGATTGAAAACAATATCGTAGAAAAACAAAATCATAGAAAAATTGGATTGAAAAGGACCTCTATTCTTCTATCTCAAAGAAGAATCAACTATGTCTGTACTTTTCTTGTCTATGTCATTCCTGAAACATCACCTGGAAAGCCTGCTCTGTGTTCTTTTCAGGCTTCACTCTGCTTTTTTTCCCTTAATGTCTAAGGTGAATCTTTTGGGATACATTTTACATCTATTTTATCATGGAAGCAATACAAAGAACAGAACGCTCTGACTTCGCTAGCCAATTCTAAGTAGCAGACTGACATTTCAGCTTTCAAAATTAGATAGTCAGATACAATATTAAATAAATTTGAATGACATCTTAATGCAGGGACAGGTTTTTGAAAATCCAAAAGCAGAAGGTGTGCCTGTACTTGTTAAAGCAGTTAATTCATACTTAAATAAGGCTTATGAACATTGCAATTTTGGTTTTGTGTTACTTTTCCTAGCTCAGTTGTATCCCTTTATTGTGGTGTCATACAGCTGATAAAAAACATAGGAATAAAACTGTCATCATTCAGACATGCTGCAGTAAATTGAAATAAATATTTTACCAAACATTTTAGTATTCTATGTCCTAGCCTTACTGTGAAAACTGTAACTAAGGGTTGAGATCTCTGGTCCCATCTGTCAGAACATACGGTAGGAAAACACGTGGGACATATAATGCACTATGAAGAATTCTCAGAAAAAGATTTTAAAATGAATGCAGATACAGCTGTCATTCCAAAGATGAAAGTTAAGTCATCAAAGCTTTGTTGAAAAACATCTCTGGCCTTACTTAAGCATGTCAAGATTTGCTGTTTTACTTAGAGACTTCCTAAGGTAAGTAAAATGAGTTAGAAAGATGGTTCAGTTAACAGTAACACAAAAGTGGAAGTGATAAAGGCCACCAACCACAACAGGAAAAAGTTGAACAGGCTACCCAAAAGGCAGCACATACATACCTTGTTACAAATGGGAAGTACAGAAAAGTCCATAAAGGGAGTTACTAGTTTTGTGCGATCAGGAAGAAGGTCTGGTGAAGGGTCTGGAGAATAAGTCTTATGAGGAGCGGCTGAGGGAACTGGGGTTGTTTAGTCTGGAGAAGAGGAGGCTGAGGGGAGACCTTATTGCTCTCTACAACTTCCTGAAAGGAGGTTGTAGCGAGGTGGGGGTTGGTCTCTTCTGCCAAGTAACTAGCGATAGGACGAGAGGAAATGGCCTCAAGTTGCGCCAAGGGAGGTTTAGATTGGACATTAGGAAAAATTTCTTTACTGAAAGAGTGGTCAGGCCTTGGAACAGGCTGCCCAGGGAAGTGGTGGAGTCACCATCCCTGGAAGTAGTTAAAAGACGTGTAGATGTCTTTTAAATACGCGCTTAGGGACATGCTTTAGTGGGCATGGTGGTGTTGGGTTGATGGTTGGACTCGATGATCTTAGAGGTCTTTTCCAACCTTAATGATTCTATGATTCTATAATCGTGGGGAGAGAGTAGTGGCAAGGCAGTACGGGAGAGCCACTGGCAACGTGATCTTATCATATGCTCAGGAAAGCACAGGTGAGTCATGTGAGGATTATCAATGTTTCTTGAAAGACCATATTACAAGCCAGCTACAGAGTGACAAAGGAACTGCTTTTGTTTTTGGGAACACTTACTGAAAAAAACCCTTATTATTCATTGGGACATTTGAGACTTTCTCTCATTCTATAGAACTATTTTTTTCTGTTCTGTTATGTTATAGTTTGCCAAACCTAAAAAAAAAAAAAGGAAAAATTCAAAAAAATAAACACATTCACATATAGTTTGTAATTAAATGTTGAATGAAAAATATTGAAGTTTAATTTCTTCACATAATTTTACTTAGGCAGCTTTTGATATGAAACTGATATACAGCACCAGAATTAATACTTTATGGCCATATACACTCCACATTCTATTTATATGAATTTATTTTTACTCAGTGACATTTTAGTGTTTCAATTGAGTGATTTATCTTGCATTTGCTCTGACATTTTCATTACCTTTCTCTAATACCTAAATCTGTACTTTGCTATGTTAGTATATAATCTCTCTGTAATCGCCTAATGGTTAAAAAAACAGAAGAAAAAATAACCTTTGCTCCCATTTAGTATTTATTCAGTACTATGTCATTCTATGGTGAAAGACCACTGTTTTTTCCCAATTAATATTTATATGTTATAATTAGTTTTATGTTGTGTCAACTATTCCCCACATTTTTATCTGGAGTTCTTAAAACTACATCCCCAAACTATGCCTTGTGGATGCTACTTTGACTCCCATTGCAATACCCAACTCATTAATTTGGTCTACAAAGTGCAAAGAGCTCATATCTTGAATTGTAATAAGGTAGTGGAAACAGAGAGTGAAAATAACCAGAAACCTATCATGTGAAAATAATTTTATGTCTAACCTATCCATTTATAGAAATCTCCACCATAGTATGAGACAATTCATTTTATTATTTTTGTCACTGAAGATATTCAATGCATTGACTAAGTATGGGTTGCAATGCAGCTTTAGACACTGTATCAGAACACAAACTACACCAAACTAGAATTATTCTTGCAAAACTCTGCTGTTAATCCTTCTTCTCTCACTTTTCTTCCTCACGGAGAGTAATTTACTGTTTGCATTGACTCCAGTGAATGATGTTCTTTCATTTGTCTGTGAGGAATAAAAATGGGAGGATCAAGGAAAGTAAAAGATTTTCTGTATACTAAGGAGAGTGGAAATCAGTTGGGAAATTAAAGTCTACACACTTGTGTCTGGAAATACTTCAGTCAGTCATAAAGAATGAAAAAGCAATCTTATTCATGCTTACCCTTCTTCCTGTTTACTCTTGAAAAGAATCATAGAATCATAGAATCA